ACCCTATAAACCCTAAACCCCTAACCTTGGGGTTTGAATTTCCTTCTCAGGGCAGGGTCAAGATCTTGGAATGAACGCCTCATGAGACTTTGGAAAGCCATGCTTACTTCCCCAACAAGCCAGGAAAATAAAAGGTTAAACTTTCAGATTACTCCTGCAGGGCTTGGTATCTTCAAGGGCTCCAATAAGGCTTCCTATAAGTTGTAGGGGCTGCTCCAACAAAAACGCATTCCGAATTCAGGGCTCCTGTAACGGATCGATCCCCCAGAGACTCCTGTGAAAGCTCCTATAAGTGTTGCGTTAAATACAAACCTCCTTTGAAAGTAAAAGGCAAGTTTATGGTAGTTGGGCTTAAGACCCCATCCCTAAACTATAAACCCTAAACCTGGGATTTATTTACGGTTGAGAGGCCATTGGGGGTTTAATTATCAGGGTTTGGTTTTAGGGCCTTAGGGCGTAGGAACAGCCCTGAGGAGTAATATCACTAGCCGTTCAAGTCAGGGTTCAGTCTTTTGCCATGGCAGCCGCTGGCTGGATTTGCATGCTGGAGGCTGGTGATGGTGCTTGCGGGCCCTGGCTGATAATTAGGGCTCGGCAGACACCGGCAGCCATAAGAAGCCATCTACTTTCGCAGATGGGCTTAGGAAGAGACAGCTCAAAGTAATTGGGTGGGAAAATGCTCCCGAAAACCTCCCGCATGGGAGGTTGGAGCCTATAGACTCCGTGCCCCGTCTTTAGGGCTTAGGGTTTAGACTCTCATCTGAAACTTCATATTTCTACCAGATCTTCTTCGAAGATTGCAGACTGACTGGCATTGAACGAGGTCTTGGCCCGCGCTGCTATGGCACCTACATCAAGGAGGAGTGCCTGAGCATCTTTCCAGCCAGCGAAAAGCCCTTCCTTAGTTGCTCAGTTCATCAGTCCCAAAAAATTTACACTAAACTAAACCCTAAACCCTAAACCCTAAACCCTAAACCCTAAACCCTAAACCCTAAACCCTAAACCCTAAACCCTAAACCCTAAACCCTAAACCCTAAACTCATCTGATCTAAGAAAAAGTGCAAAGCGTGTGCTCACTCAGCTACCAAGCTTCCGATCCCAGTAAGAGTTGTTGAAGCCTTCGGTTGAACTCCTCTATCTCCTGGGTGGCTCTGCGGGGCTTAGGGCTTCGGAGATATGTTAGGGTTTAGGGTTTAGGGTTTAGGGTTTAGGGGTTCAGGGTTTAGGGTTTAGGGTTTAGGGCTTCGGAGATATGTTTCAAGAGCTTTCCCAGAAAGCAGGGGCCTGCTTCAAGTAGAATAGGCTGTAAGGTAAGTACCCATAAGCCCCATAGCAGTTCCTTTTTGGGATTACCTACTAGGATCCTAAGGTCCTAAATGCAAACCACAAAAAGGAACTACGATGGGGCCTATGGGTATCTTGGGGACCCCAGGGAACACTGCTTGCAATTGTTCGGGGTCCCATGCTACCTCTAAATGCTCCTAACCCTAAACCCTAAACCCTAAACCCTAAACCCCTAAACCCCTAAACCCCACAAGTACGAGTGCATGCACGAGTTGTCCCAAAGTGCCGCCGAGACTCTGATGCTGAGCCAATCCTGGGTTCACCAAACTCCCCTTACCCATAGGCCCTAAAGTAGTTCCCTTTTGGGGGTTAAGGTTTAGGGTTTAGGGTTTCATTTTTAGAATCCTATTCGGGAATCCCAAAAAGGAACTACTATGGGGTCTATGCGTATAGCACCCCCTCAGAGAATCCCTTTTAGGACTTATAGAATCCTTGTAGAATCCCTTGCGGAATACATACCGTTTAGGACTTCGAACGGAATCCTTGTAGAAAGAACCTTAACCTTAAACCCCTAAACCATAAAAAAAAAAGCCCTAAACCCCTAAACCCTAAACCCCTACACCATAAACCCCAAAACCCCGATAACATCATTCTTGATCTCTAGAACGCGAGCTTCGGGAGGCCCTCTTAACGACAGAGGCAAGAGGGCACTGCGTATGGAACCCCTTATCGAATCCTTGTAGAACTTGTCAGAATCCTTACAGAAACCTTTAAGATCATGTAGAGCCTACACCCAAAGCCCTAAACCCTAAACCTAAACCCTAAACCCTAAACCCCAAACCCTAGACCCCAAACCCTAAACCTAAACCTAAAGCCTAGACTCTAGACCCTAAACCCTTCCTTTTTAAAAAGAGCCAAAAGGGCACTGCTTCGGAGCGGAGAGGCTTCTTGAGGATCCCTTCCTTGTCTTCAGGTCGGGATGCCGAACAATCTTCTACCTGAGACCGCGGGAACTTAGGGTTCAGGGTTTAGGGTTCAGGAATTAGGGTTTAGGGGGTTTTAGGGTTTGTTTGTTTTTTTGGTTTGGAGTTTAGGGCCAGTTTGGGGATCAGGGTTTGGGGTTTGGGGCTTGGGGTTTGGGGCTTCGGGTTTGGGGATAACGTTGGGGTGAAGGGTTTTAGGGTTCAGGGTTTTCATACCCTAACATGGTGCTTAACTTCGGGTTTATATTACAGAAACTGTTTAAAGCCTGCCTACTTTACTGCGAAGCGACTCGCAGCGATTCCAGTTGTGCCGAGTTCTCTTCCTGGGCTGCGGGTGTGGGACTTCAGGGCTTTAGGTTTCAGGGTTTAGGGTTTAGGGTTTAGGGTTTAGGGTTTAGGGTTTAGGGTTCAGGGTTCAGGGTTCAGGGTTCAGGGTTTAGGGCCGTTTACGGTTTACAGGGCATCTATCATTCGTTGCTCACTCGTATATAAGACTAGCCCGGAGCCAAGACTTGGAAACTCATGTTCAGGAGCGGCCAAGTTGGTTTAGGGTTTAGGGTTTAGGGTTTAGGGTTTAGGGTTTAAGGTTTAGGGTTTAGGGTTTAGGCGAAGCTTCCAGGACCTTGTGGGAATGAAGGACCACATGCTGTTCCATTCTGCTGGCGTGCGCCTGGACCAGCTCGGCTATGCACCATGCACGCGAGAAGAGGTTAATGATTGTAATGATTGTAATGGTAG